GGTGAGACTGCGGTCGTCGGGGTAGCAGGCTTGTGTCCACCGGTTCGTTAGGTGAAAACGCGTAAGACGGTCTCTCACAGAAGGGCTGCAAGGGTCAGTAACCAACGCCGGCCGCGGGGTTTTAGTAGGGAAACAGAGATGTGCCGTGAGCGGCAAAGGTTGACGGACCAATCATAAGCCACCGAGGAACGCTAATAACTGACGCTACCCGCGTCGATCTTTAGACAAGTAATCGGGGTCAAATGATGTAGGAGTTCGAAGAGAGTGGGCCGGCAGAGATTGATTGAACCAATCACACCCATCGACGAACGCTAATAATGTAATCGCTACCTGCGTTGCACCTTTAGACAAGTAATCAGGGTCAAGTGATGTAAGTGTTCGAGGATATTGGGCCAGGGAGCCCAAGAGGTGCTAGGAAGAGCACACACGATTCCAATGTTGGAACGGGGCGCGATAAGTCGTTGGGAGGTAAGAGTAAGCACTAAGCTTAGATGAAATTTACACTAATCACGGAGTCTATTGAACAAATTGCGTTTATTGTCCCTGATATGTACCGCTGGAGGGAGTTAGAACAATTGCTGGGAGGGACTGAGAGGTCGACGAGGGATCAAATTTATTGTAGTGGGATGAGAGAGGTATGACAAAGAGAGCGAGTCTGAGGGAGATTGAGGTATGCGTCATATAGTGTAAGGACCAGCGGGAGATCTAATCTCAGCATTGAGGGCGACATTAAATGGGGATGTACTCGATTACCTTTGGGATGATAGGCATTAGAAAGGGAGAGAATGGTGGGTAGCTATCAGGTATCAGATAGTGGCTTCAGGTTATGCCCTCAAGGGAGGCATCAAAATTATATGCTTTGGGGAGACATCCGTGTCCTAAATTCCTTATGAGACAGATACCATCCTAGGCAGCGAAGACTATATGTTGACAAGCGACAAGCCAGCCTCATTATAAATATTGTTTGTGACGAGCCCCAGGCGCAAGGAACGGTGGCAGAAAGGAATCGGTCAGCTTGAAACCAACGGACCGATCAGCAATTGGAAATGGGTGTGTAAATTACGTTTGAACAGGAGAGAAATCAAACAGCAAGAAAATCAACTCATTAATCAACCATTTGAGGATCTACCAGCCGAGAACACTCACCTGAGGTTGTTCCAGAGCACGGCGCAGGTCGGCAACCATATCGGACAGAAAAACACCCCCGATGAACGAAATTTTATTAAACAATAATTTTTTTTGAAAACATACTCCCCACCGCTTCCGGACCCCCAGGGGGCATCATCACATTCGTGGCGCCCAACGTGGGGCAATGGCTTTGTTGCATGCAACATGAAATCAGCAGAGTTGCACATACCCGAACCCAAAGAAAAAAATTCAAGTTCGAAGACTGGAGGAGTTATGGAGAGCAAACACGTTGTATCCACTAGCTATGAAGACGGGATATAATCCAGCAGTCCTGAGGAGTTACAGTCCAGAGGAGTTGCAGTCCAGTTGCATGCAACATGCAATCAGCAGAGTTGCGCATACCAGAGCCCAAGAAGAAAATAAGATCGCCGACTGGAGGAGCTGCGAAGAAGAGACACGTTGTATCCACTGGCTATGAAACCAGGATGCCATCAACAGCCCAGAGGAGTTGCAGCCCAGTTGCATGCAATATGCAATCAGCAGAGTTGCACATACCCGAACCCAAGAAAAAATCAAGACCGAAGACTGAACGAGCAATAGAGAAGAAACAGGTTGTACTCACTGACAGGACAGGACATCATCAAACAGTCCAGAGGAGGAAGAGGAGTTGCAGTCCAGTTGCATGCAACATGCAATCAGCAGAGTTGCGCATACCAGAGCCCAAGAAGAAAAATACGATCGACGAACTGGAGGAGCTACGGAGAAGAGACACGGTGTATCCACTGGCTATGAAAACAGGATGTCATCAACAGCCCAGAGGAGTTGCAGCTCAGTTGCATGCAACATACAATCAGCCGAGTTGCACATATCCGAGCCCGAGAAAAACAGGATCGAAGACCGGAGGAGCTACGGAGAAGAACCACGTATCAACTGAGGTCATGGCTATGAACACAGGATATAACCCAACAGTACAGAGAAGTTGCAATCCGGTTGCACACAACATGAAAATCAGCCATGTTGCACATACAGGGACCAATAAGAACGAAACCAAACGCTAGAAATCAAGGAGGATACCAAGCTACATTCAAGAACACTATTCAAGGAGGTGATAGTCAAGATGTCCGAAAGTACTTCAGCTGTTTCGAGGCGTTGCAAGTTCCGTTGCATGCAACACAATTTAGCAATGTGGCACATACCCGAAGCCAGAAAACAGGACCGAAGACAGAAGAAATTCAAAAAATACTTCATAACATCCAAGAAGGTTGAGGTTAAGAGGACACAATTGAATCCGGCTATCGAGAAAGGTTGCAGTTCTGTTGCATGCAATCAGAGAAGTTACGCATATCCAAACCCAGAAGAACGAGGTCAAAACTTGAAAATTTAAGGAGGAACATTAACAATTACGGAGTTAGTGGTCAAGGAGACAGAAGCAGGTCCAGCTGTTCAGAGACATTGCAATGCGGTTGCATGCAACACGGAACCAGCAATGTTGCACAAATCCAAATCCAGAAGAACGAGACCGAAGACCGGAGAAGTAAAAAGAAGTATTGGCGTTGGGTCCAAGAAATCTGCGGGCAAGAAGGAAAGACGGATCCAGTCGTACGGTGGCGTTGCAGTTCTATTGCATGCAACAGCAACATGGACTCAGCAATGTTGCACAAAATCCAAATCAAGGAAAGCGAAATCTAAGACGGGTAAAATTAAGAAAAGCATTGACGTTGCGTTCCAGGCATTGATAATCCAGAATGAAGAATCGTACCCTGAGGCCTCTTGCACCAAACTACCTAGCTAGGTAAAATCGAAAAACCGGTTTCAGAATAAGCTAATCTAAAGGTGGTAAATTTGTTTGCAATAGCCCAATACATAATCCTACATGTGCTTGCTAAATTTTGCACGCAAATTATTACATTTGAGACTTGGACTGGGTATACGATGCAAAATAATTCAAGCATTGGTGCAAGAGGATTTTGGTGCAAGAGGCCCCAGCTGTTCAGATGCGTTTCAGTTATGTTGCACGGAACCTACAATCAACAGTGCTTCACCTAACCGAGCCAGGAAGGGGAGAAAGAAGACTGAAGAAGATGAAGAACCATCATGACATCTCAAGAAGTTTGCGATCAAAGGGACAAATTTGAACCCAGTTATTCAAAGGGAACTGCAGTCACAAAATGCAACATGCAATCAGCAGAGTCGCACCTATCGAGAAGCCGCCCAGAAAGAAACAAGATCGACGGTAAAGGAGATTAGAGGAGACACTGCACTACGAAGAAACAAAGACAAGATAACATCTAGAGGTTCGAGAGGAGCAGCAATCTGATCACAAGGATCCAACTCGTACATGCGCTAGCATATGTTACTGGTTTAGCCCAGATCACAACAAGATCAAGATCAAGAGTGCAGGAAATGCAAGACATTTGACAATAAAGTGAAATGGCAGATGAAGAAGAAGCAGTGGGAGCCAGCCACCGGGAAGGGGAGGTCCTGAGCTGCTACACAAGAAGGTTCCCGAATCCGCAGCAACAAGTAGTCGGAAAGATCGTGGCAGTTTTTCCAAACGCGGGAGGAGGAACCTGAGAAGAAGCCTGCGCCGTCGGGACGACTGGAACGCGAAGAGCAAAGCCTGCCTCCAGCGAGCAACGGGAAAATCTGAGGGGGAGATCAAGAGGAGCGGGAGGAAACACACCAGCCATGCTACGCTAATCTTGCGGTTCCAAACTCCACAACAAAAACTGACCTGGCGTTGAGTACGGTAAAAGGGAGAAGTCTACGTGCCAAGAGCAAGTCGATCAGAGCAAAGCCAAGCAATCGGACAGGAATGGCGACGTACCGGACCTCAAGACCGCAGGGGTTCAACAAATACGACAACCAAGCCAGGCGAGAGAGGGACTTACTCTGAATATGTGCTACAATTACCACCACCCGCGGCACCGAGCTTTCGAATGCCTCCCGAGAGATCAACAGCATCAGGGAAACTGACATCATCGTTCGCATGGGGATCAGCGTGACGAATGGACGCAACTTTCCTTCAACTTCCACAGGAAACAACACCAGGATCTACGGGAATCTCAATCAGAGATGATCGAAGACAGCCTGAGAAGAAAACAGCTAACCTGGTCACGAAAGCCCACCACCTCGCTACAACATCAACATCATGAGACATGGACCGACGTATAAAGTGTTCTCGTCGAAAGGAGGTCCAAAGGAAACCAGCACTGATTTTTGCGTCACTCGTCAGACATCATCAACAGCAAGCCTCCCAAGTCGCGGACGTGGCTCTTCGGTCCGCCTCAGGTCATGCGATAACCGGTTACCTGAGAAACAGCAGTAAAATTCCAGTTAGGAGTACAGAAGAAGACATGACGCCTCCCCACACGCCGAATTTCACCGTGACGCCATCATCGGAGTTAGATTCGTCCGAAAAAAACAGCATCATCGTCGAGCGGTCAAAAGAAAGCTTTGAATCTTTGTAGCCAACAAAATCATCCTGGAGAACGGAAGGAGGCGACACTCTAAAAGAAAGCGGCGGCCTCTACCTAACCGGTGTCGGAGAAGGAGAGACCAAGATGGATTATTCCAGGAGGAAACATCACTCCGAGAAGTGGAGAAGTCGACCAAGCAGTAACGAAGGAATATCCAACCGAGCCTGAAGAGAAAAACCAGCCGATCAGCAACGCCATCAGCATCTGAGTCGAGACAAGCCGTGGAAAAAGTCACCCACCAGCAGAAGACTCCCCTAAACTACCCACCGCCCAAGGAGGAGACGCCGAAGACCAAATATCAAGACCACCAACTGTTACGAAGTCAAGAAGTCGTGGTGTCAGCGAACAAAACACTCAGATGTCTGGCTAAGCGGGAAAGAGGATGAAGAAAATATGGATCCGAAGATTCTGGGTACCAAGACGCTCGATTCGGATCAGAAGAAACAGCTGCAATACACATCGATGAACATCAAGAGCGCCTTCATGGACCTGAGGACGTGATGTCATTGAACCATCGAACATCGTGTTGAGCTGACCTGCAACAAACCAATTCGAAGACCGGTATAAGTCGCACTAACACCGAAAGGAATTCATGGAAACCAGAAGTTCGAGGCATGCGGGGCAGCTGAGTGAGTCGAACGAATGGGAACGCACAGAGCAGCTGGTGAAACAGGAACAGGCCGCCCAGATAACTGCAATACAGAAACAAAGGCATGGTCACCAAGGAGAGGTACGGAGAGTTGATGTGCTCCATGGAGGACGAACAACAAACCCCAGTAACACCAATCCTGCTCAACAACCATCCCAAACCCCATCCTACCCACTCCAAGGGTCATGTCCAACCGCCTTATACTTTCCTTCTTCCCCCTTCGACCAAAGAAGCACCCTCCCCCTTCTCTTTTGTTCCAGGTACCAGAGCAAGCAACGTTACCACTGTGGCGTTGAGGCGTGCAGCTCCAGAGCACCCTTGCGGGTTACCGCCACCGGACTTCACGACAACAGCGCCCAACCATGGCAGAGCCAGATCGATCAGGGCGTTGGCAGAGGCGTTGCTCAAAGACGCCCAATGCCCTGGCGCCAACAAACCGGACTTCACGACAACAGCGCCCAACCATGGAGGGAACCAGATCGACCAAGGCGTTGGCAGAGGCGCTGCTCTAAAAGCGCCCGATGCCCTGGCGCCAACAAAGCGGACTACACGACTACGACGACCGACCCCGGCCTGGACACGAGCAACCGAGGGGGTCACGCCAGGCGGCGGTCAGGGGGAAGGCCCAAGACATCTCGTCCAAGTGGCTACCAGAGGGTCACAACGGGCCGTCGTACCAACATGGAGCGACGTATGTACCGATGTGACAATATGCGCGCGGTGTGTCATTAGGTTTTATGTAGGGGTAGATATCTGATGGTGTGTAGTACTTAAAACAGATGTGTTGTGCTTACTCGTTACCGGGCTTGTCAGGCAACCACCTTACGAATGTTGGGGGAAAACGATTAGGACATGACCTGCTGTAATTAACTCGGGGGATGGAATACCGAAAGGGGGAAGTGTCACTAATGGGATGGTTAGGGTGTAAGCTAGGTTAGGGCAAATGGTGGCAAGGGGACTGACCTCGGGGGGATGGCTGCACCACACCAAGCTGTCGGAGGATCGAGGAGACGTTACCCATGGAGTCCAGAAACAGCACCCTCGCATCGCAGGGAGGCAGAGGACGTCAACGTCCTACCCAAGAAAGACGAGGAAAGCCAGCGGACCACCATGCAAGACAGGTGCACCCTTAATTGTGGGGGCACAATTAAAAGAAGAAGCCTGAAAATGTAACAGCTGGAAGCTGTAACATTTTTTGTCGTACATAAAAAAGACATCTCTCACACTCTATACGTAAGGACGATCGCACTGTCTGCCGCGGCGCTGAGCCGGCGTGGGGAGGGGGTCGACCAAACGATCCCCGACTCGTCGGCCGGTCACCATTAAGCGAAGATCAAAGGCTCGCCGAAGGGTGGAGTACAAACACACCCATCCGGGCCGGCGCAGCTACCGCCGACGAACGCGGCGCAGTCGGAACCACCTGCCCTCCGGTGCTGGCTAGTGCGAAAACGTCGCGTCCGGCACAGGCAGGGACCGACATCCGGCGAAAATCGAGTGTGAAAACGTCATCCGGCAGGAGACAGCTGAGACGGATGAGCCGTGCAAGTGAGGATGACGTCACGTTCCGGCGGAATGGAGGGCGGAGGGTGACAGTCTCGACTCCGGATGCGAGACGGGATGTCGCCAATTTTCTGCCCCGGTCGGGGAGGCCTGGCGACGCCCGGAATCTCCGGCCCGGAAATCACAGGCGGACAAAACTCAATGCAGAAAGAGAGAGGGGAACAGACTGCGGTATCAGACCACGGGTGACAGACCACGAGGGGGAGAGCTCATCTGGACGGCGGGTCGGCCGGCACGTCTCAGTCTGAGGCTGGCCGACCCCACCCCTGCCGGAGCGGAGGGACTCTGCTGCCGCGACGGAGACTCGACGTGTCAACCATCAAACCATCAACAAACTGTCAAGTGAGTCATCTCATCTGTCCGCCTCATCAAGACTGCCTCCCCGTCATGGACAACTCACCTCCCATTCACCCATCGGATGTCTCTGATCTGGATTTCAAATGCCACTCCCTGGGGTCTAACCTGAGCCACCATTAGAGGGTAATGGATTTAACGTCGTGGGAGTGTGACTCGGTAGGGAAGGGGAGGGGAGATGGTCGCTATATTCCGCTCCCGACCGAGCGGCGCGGCAGGGGTGCGCCTGTAAGGGTGAGCAGGCAGACTAATGGGTCTGACTGGTCCGGCCTTGTCTGTGGATAGAAGGGAGAGGGGTTATTGGGAAGCCGGGGCGGGTCAGTAACAGTCAGTGTAGGCTAATGGCTCACCATTACATTGGTATTGGGGGGGAGCGCTATCCGTCGGCCATCGCGCGCGCGGTCCGGCGCAGTGAGGTGTGGGATTATGAGTATGAGTATGAGAGGGGAGGGGAACAGGCCAGATGGTGTCATTTTTGGGGCGCTGGTCACTATTGACGCGTCAAACTACGTCAGATGACGTCATGACAGTTCAATTAGCGATGCTTTGTAAATAATCTTTTTGCGGTTAGGGCGTTAGGATTAGATTTAAGGTTAAGTTGTCATTGGCGAGCTGACAACCGATCGTGGTACACCGGTTGAAAATGACCAGTATTGTATCGTCCGTTTGTAAATATAGCGTGAAAAATTTAACAATCTGTCTGGGAAAGAAGGGAGGGTTACTTCAGATAGGTTGCTGATTCGGATTCACAGAGACCGCTAACGTAATTATCTTTGAGTCGTCATCGTCGATCACACGGCCTCACGCCGGCCTAGCACCACAGGCTCACCGGAGTTGAATGAGACTACGCCACGGCCGTCTGATCATCAATCAACGGAAATGCAATGATCACCCTGTGGAGTTATTTCTATTATCAAACTATGTTAGTAATTAGAAGTGCCTACATGATTTAGGTCACTCACTAATTATGAGGTGCCGGAGTGAATATGCACATGTCATATGCCGCGTGATTCAAAAATGCAAGAACGGCAATTTGGAGCAGCAGCGCGGCGGCGAGGGGGGAGCCGTAGAGGAACGGAGGAAAGTGGATTTATTGATATGGAGTGGAGTGAAGCAATTGTAGAAGCGTAATTGTTGAGTTCATGGCGGATTTCGTATTGAGTTGAAATCGATAAACGCTTTACTTTTATTCGATCTCTTTCTAGTACAATACAAGCTATTTCGGCTCGCTTCAAAATGGACACAAATACTTTCGATTTGAGGATCATCCCAGAATTCGATGGAAGACAACCAGTGCTCGAGTGGCTGGAAAAAGTGGAACTCACCTGCAGACTGAGGTCAGTGACAGAGTTGGAAAACGTTATTCCGCTTCGTCTAACTGGTGGCGCATTTAACGTTTACCAGCAGCTCAGTGAAGAGGACAAGGCGGATGCGAGTCGGATAAAAGAGGCGCTGCGAACGGCATTCGCAGCTGACAAGTTCACGGCTTATGACCAGTTCATCTCCAGGAGACTCCGTGCTGGTGAGTCCGTCGATGTCTATCTTTCTGAGCTTAAACGGCTAGCTCTGTTGTTCGGAGGAATCCCTGATACTGGTCTGATATGTGCCTTTGTGGCCGGTCTGCCGGACTCTGTGCGTCAGACTATGAGAGCTGGGACCCGTATCGAGTCGCTAAGCCTGAGTGAAGTGCTCGGCCGTGCGCGGGCGCTGCTGGCGGACGACTGCGACACCGCCGCGGCGGTTCAGACTCGTCAGACTTGGCGTGGTGCTACTAGCGACAAGCGCCAGCGTGGTGAGACTCGTGGGCCAGTGAAGTGCTACCGATGTGGAGAAGAGGGGCATATCGCACGCCTCTGCCGACAGGTAGTCTGCTTCCGGTGTCAGAAGTCGGGTCACACGATGGCTCACTGTCCGGAAAACAGGCAGGGAGGGGAGACGTCAGCGCCAGCCTCCTCTCCGCGCTAAGCGGCGCCCTCCCTACAAGACAATTAGAGGTCAATGGCACCAGCGGCTTGGCGCTGGTCGACTCTGGATGTTCCCGCAGTATTGTTGATCAGTCCTTCTGTCCCGGCTGGACCAAGAGAAGAATCAATGTGAGAACTGTAAGCGGCGAACGGTACCAATGTGACGGCAGTGGACCTATTCGAGTGTGTCTTCCGAACGGTGCTGCTGCTGATCTTGATGTCCTAGTGGTGATGGAGAAGCCATTGGGTTTTGATCTTGTGCTTGGCATGGACGGCATTGAGGCATTGGGAGGAGTTACGCTGGTAAACTCCAGTCAAGTGCAGTTCGGAGGTGAGCTCAACTGTGCTGCCGTTCAACTGACAAAACCAGAACCGACAGAACCAGAGCTGACAGAATCGGAACCGTTGAAACAAGGCGTGATGAACCCGGAACAGACAAACATGGAAACTGGTCTGAGTGGGAATGAGAGCCGTGTGAAAGTGCATGTTGATGAGGCAGATTTTCAAGCAAGTTACGATGAAAAGGATAAGAAGTGGACTATGAGCTGGAAGTGGGCGGATGGCTCGGCACCTGAGGCGCTGAGGGACACCGTGTCGGAGTATAAAATACCGCCAGAGAGCCGTGAGGAATATGAAGAGGAGCTGAAACAGTGGGTGGAAAACGGTTGGCTCGAGCCGTACGATGAAGAGAAACAGGGGCCGCCGAAGGGAACAATTCCTCTCATGGCGGTGCTGAATCGGAACAAGGAGAAGGTGAGACCAGTTCTAGACTTCAGACAGCTGAATTCGTTCGTTGATGCGCATACCGCAGACGCAGACGTGTGCGCCGAGAAACTGCGCGAGTGGAGGAAAAGGGGCACTGATGGAGCCATGATCGACCTCCGAAAAGCATACTTGCAAGTGCACGTAGACGAGTCACTTTGGCCCTATCAAACAGTTGTCTTCCATGGCAGACGGTATAGTCTTACGCGTCTTGGCTTTGGTTTGAGCGTCGGGCCTCTGGTGCTGAAGAAGGTGTTGGCCACTATCCTGAGCTGGGACGCAGACATCAGACGCGCTACTTCAGCATACATCGACGACATCTTTGTCGATGAGAGTGCTGTTCCGGCGGAGCGTGTTGTGGCGCACCTCAAGAAGCACGGCTTGGACTGCAAGCCCCCGGAGCGCCTCTCTGGCGGTACCCGTGTCCTTGGACTTCGGGTACAGGAGGGGGACGGTCATCTGGTCTGGAGACGAGACAACACTGTCGGAGACGTCCCAGAGCCACTGACAAAGCGGGCTCTGTTCTCGCTATGTGGTCGGCTCGTCAGTCACCTTCCGGTCTGCGGCTGGCTGAGGCCGGCTGCCTCCTTCATGAAGAGAGTGGCGAATGCGACTACAACGTCGTGGGATGAACCGGTGACGGACCCGAAGATACTGAAGATGTTGGAAGAAGTCATGCAGCGAGTGGATGCAGCAGACCCAGCACGCGGCAGATGGGACGTGGATGGAGAAGACGCAACAGTATGGGTAGATGCGAGCTCCCTGGCCCTAGGTGCTGTGGTACAGATCGGGGGAGAAGTGGTTGAAGACGCATGTTGGCTAAGACGTGACGAGTGCGCCCATATAAATATGGCTGAGCTAGATGCAGCACTAAAAGGCATCAATCTTGTGATTCCATGGGGAGTCAAAACAGTGAAACTGATGACAGACTCGCGGACAGTCTACCACTGGCTGAGCGATGCGATTTCAGGAAAAGCAAGAGTGAAAACGAAAGCGGCGGGGGAGATGCTGATTCGTCGGCGACTGGAGACCATCAGAAGCACGGTGGAGGAATACGGTCTCCAGGTAGACGTGAGCTTCGTCACGTCCAGAGAGAACAGAGCTGACGCCCTCACCAGAGTGCCGCAGAAGTGGCTCGCTCCGACATCAGACGGCTCTGCTGTCCGTGTTGAAGTCGGTGGCGCCGACCAGCGAAGTGACGGTGGTGTAGCCGCCGCAGCAGCAAGTCATGACAACTCAGATGAGATCCGGCGCATACATGACTCGACTGGGCACCCTGGGATACGGCGCACCTTCTACTTCTGCAAGAAGTCCGTACCAGCAGTCACCAAGAGCCAGGTGCGCGCCGTCGTCCATCAGTGTCAGCAGTGCCTGTCGTTGGATCCAGCTCCAGTCAGGTGGTGTAAGGGAGATCTCAGCGTTCCGGAAACGTGGACACGGCTGAGCATGGACATAACACATGTGAACGGCGGCCAGTATCTGACGGTGATAGATAACGGCCCATCTCGCTTTGCTGTGTGGCGGAAGTTGAAGAGGCAGGACAGCAGCAGCGTCATCGAACAGCTGGAGCAGATATTCTTTGAACGAGGAGCGCCGCGAGAAATCCTAACGGACAACGCAGCGGCATTCCGTAGTCGTGCCTTCTCCGAATTCAGCGAGCGATGGGGCGTGACCATGCGATTTCGAAGCGCCCACCGACCCTCTGGAAATGGGATAGTGGAGCGGTGCCACCGGACAGTGAAGTGTATTGTAGCCCGCTCAAGCTGCTCAGTGCAGGAAGCACTGTACTGGTATAACGTGACACCCAAGGACGACGTCAGTGCTGAATCTGCTCCGGCGAATCAAATATACCGATATGAAGTGAAAATACGTGGAATCGACGAGAACTCCAGCGATCCTGGTGTAGTCGTGTGTCGGTTCAGCTTGGGAGATCGCGTGTGGGTTCGAGATCCCAGCACACGATGTGACGTACCCAGTTCAGTGGGAACGGTCACCAAAGTGGTGTCGGCCCAGACCGTGGAAGTCGACAGCATTCCTCGTCATGTGCGCGATCTGCGCCAAGCTTCAACAGACTGCACTCAGGAGTCGGAGCCCAAGTATGAACGAGAAGAGCCCGGAGAAGACGCAGAGGAGTCGTGGCTGATCCAGATACCAGCTCCAAGAACGACAGGAGGCTGCGAGCAGATAAATGACGCTGATGGTGCCTCCCAGCTCGAGTGTGAAGTGTCTCAGGCCACAGCGGCTGAGGTCAACGAGACTGAGAGTGCGGACAGCCCGGCCTCAGCCGTCGTCAGACAGATGCCAGCAAAGACGTGTAGCGTGAGGACCCGGCAAGGACATTGTAGTATTTGCCTCTGAAGTCTGCCCACGCGCGCTGTTGTATAGCGCTGCTCCAACGTTGTCTACATACAATTTAATGATCGGAGATCAGGGGGGAATGTGGAGTTATTTCTATTATCAAACTATGTTAGTAATTAGAAGTGCCTACATGATTTAGGTCACTCACTAATTATGAGGTGCCGGAGTGAATATGCACATGTCATATGCCGCGTGATTCAAAAATGCAAGAACGGCAATTTGGAGCAGCAGCGCGGCGGCGAGGGGGGAGCCGTAGAGGAACGGAGGAAAGTGGATTTATTGATATGGAGTGGAGTGAAGCAATTGTAGAAGCGTAATTGTTGAGTTCATGGCGGATTTCGTATTGAGTTGAAATCGATAAACGCTTTACTTTTATTCGATCTCTTTCTAGTAATACACACCCCTCACGACGCGACCATCACAGATACATTTTGTTTTGTTCCAAGCTAGTAGGTCAGCATAAGTTGTTTCATAATCTAACTAGTTTGAACTCGGTAGGCCAGCGTATCAATCCATTGTTAATCTAGTGTTAATTCCAAGTCTGTCAATCGATTCTCAATTCTTACAAGTGCTATTCGAGATAAATCGACGGTCAGCGTAGGATTGTCACATCCGTGGCATAGATTAATCATGGGGATAAGGTTTGATACGAAGGCGGCCCAAGAAGTCGTGACGTGTTCAGTTACATTCGGATAAGGAGAGTAAACATTGTAAATACCAAACATTATTCTGCTCCTTCGGCAGCTCAGCGCCAGAACAAGTCTGAATTGCCTTCCGGGTTGTTATTAAATCAGCATTGAGTCGTTTCGTGATTCGCGTTCATCTAACCGATACAAATCTGAATCACCATTTCAATCGTTATAAATTTTATCGCTGTTCGTAACCTGTCAATCAATCCCCCTTTCTCTCCTAGCATTATCAGTACCTAACTGATATTGATGCTAGCTCCCCCGTCGAGGTATATCAAAGATTAACGTAGAAATGTTACGGTTGTTAAATCGATGCATCATTTGAGGCAATTGATCATAAACATCAAGCGAGTTACCGTTCAATGTGACGTGACTATGTCAAATGTCACCCTGCTTGTACACGTCTAGTTGGTTACGGAGGGAAGCGAGAAATTACCGCAGCTCATGTCCTTCATGTAGAATAAAGACGCACCGACGACAGCACCACTAGCGCCACCTACAAGATCCAATGCCTTCAGTGCAGACTCCGACAGTGCTCACTGCTCAGCTGCAGCTGACAATACTAACAGTGCCACCTAGCATGGAATACGCCACCCTGGTTCCCAAAACTGCCATGAGAGGTCGCCACATAACCCTGAATCTGACGCGTATGCGAGTATGCGTAAGAGACAGACGGGCACGGGCAAGGATAGAAAGAGTTAAGTGAGTGATGAGTGAATGAGTGGACGCGTGCGGGAGTGGATGAGTAAATTGGGGCGTGAGTTGGTATGTATGTGAGAAAGAGAGCAAGATGTCGAAGTTTCTAAATCAGTAGTTATAAAGATCGATCTCATACATGAAATATTTTGGTACAAGTTCGACAATCCAGACCAACCCGTGACTCCCTACCGCCACCTAGCTAACGTAGCCTTGACGACATCCGCTAGGAGTCGCCAAAATCACCGATGAGTCAGAATGGGCGCCGATCAGATCTGAAGCAGGGTCAGGTCACCGCAGAGCTTTCATTACAATCAATTAAAGGCCGGTTATCACCTGTCCCTTTGTGTTTGCTTAATTTACAAATATTGTACAATTTCGATAAATCCCGTTTGCCTAAAAGACTCAACGATATGGTTCAATCTTAAGACCTGCGACAGTGAGTTAGAACAGATAATCGAGAGTGAGAGTGAGAGTGAGAGTGAGAGTGAGAGTGAGACATAGACATAGACAGAGACAGAGACAGAGACAGAGACAGAGACAGAGACAGAGAGAGAGAGAGAGAGAGAGAGAGAGAGAGAGAGGGTGAGTGAGTGAGTGAGATATCCAGGTGTAATACTTCATTTATATCTGTAGGCAAAAGCGACCTTCATGCTAAATTAAACCAGAGAAAGACAATGACGCGAATGCTTTGGAGCTCACAAATGCGATCTGGTCCCCCCGCCGCTGGATCGGAGAAAGCACGGGCCCATGAAGTCCTCAGCTCAGCTGAACCGCGGGCAGTACACGAATATGGACCTGCTGAGAGAAACAATTAATATGTTAAGATAGCTGGACGAATACCTAATTCAACTATTGACCCATCCTGACTTCAGTGAAAAATGACGGACACAATTGCGGGTGGTTAAAGGGGAGAAAGAGGGAGCAGAGTCACATACGACCAAATTTTAGGAAATTTTGGTGAACAACCCTATAACCCTGGTCTAATTCAGGGAGAAACTGGTTACCTATGTCAGTCGAACTCAAACTCTGCATTGCAAGGCATGCCACCAAATCAGATTAGCAGACAATTATAGGCTAAAGGCAGGAATGAAGAATTAATTGTGTTATGATTGAGCGTGTATCACTAAAACTTAGAAATTCAAAGAAAGAAAAGACCATGGCTGAGTCAGATGGTGTTAGATTCAATTGAACAAGCACCAGGGACTTATGAGGAAATTGCACCAACCCCAGTCACCTTTCTAGTGTCATTCCCTAACGAACAGGTACTACAATATGTCAAGGGTCATTGCCACCCAAGCTAGGAGGACATTCATCTCATGTCATGCGTGGTGTGAAAGCTACTGACAACTATACTTACAAAGTTTTGGAGGGACACGCTGAAATTAATGAATTCAGATGGTAAATCAGTAACATACAACAATTCAAGTCAGACTATTCCCAGTCGCATCCAAGGTTGTTTCATCCGTTTCTATTGAACATGGAATTTCAATGCTAATGACCATTGACCTCTCAGTCTCAAGTCACAACTGATCTCATATCTGGCCTGGGATGCTAGCACCGCAGTTTCGGACCAGTGTGGTTTCACTTAAAAAGGGGTATCTTAGAATTGAAAATCATAAGGCATCAGTGACTACAATCTTTGACGGGTGACGAAAGAGATACAATGAAGATTATACCAGTCTGAGTCTTTGTTGAGCCATTAATTTAGTTTGAAATTAGCACCACTCTCCAATGGCCAGTTCCCATTAGCTTCTTAAAAGTTACTGCTCTTGCCATTTTTTTTTTTATAAATTTATTCTGAATGGTTGAAGGGGCAGATTTGTGAAATCAGAGCTCGCACTAAGCATAGCTTGTTGTGCTGAACCGACCTGCCACCCGACCACGCAATACCAGTTGTATGGCATAATTTTGTCTTAAAGTTTAACATGTCCTCATGACTGGACACAGCCCCCCTTATTTGATATAACCACTTCTCATTGCTGATGTTCCCACTCAGATAATTGGATATCACATTGGCCAAAAGTTGTACACCTTCAACAACATAGTAATCGGTAAACCGAGCTCCCTTAAATTAGAACACCACAAGTCAATTGTCAATTGCAAGTTAAATAAATTATCTAGACCAGTATGTCAATAAAAGTCTGCATTATGAAATTGATTCTAAAAATCGGTTCAGTGGCATAACATGAAATCACATGATTTGGATTGTCTTTAAAACCGAAATGCCAAATTGAGACTAATCCGGCGCACTACCTTAGAGTTCCCTTGATGCAAATACTTACGACCCCAGAGAAAGTTGCGACAGCGTGGCGAGGGACGCCAGACAACAATCCACATAAAAAATATTCATGATCACAAATGATTGGGCACTACCGAGAATTGCTTCATTGAAACCACGTGGAACACCCAAGACAGTCAAGTTGAAATTCCGACCAAAAGTTGGCGTGTCCAAGGTTAGACGATGAAAAGTCAGGATGTACCAACCCGCCGACGACACGATCTTATGACGTCATTACTGATCAACAAGTGTAAACACAGTCTGTTTCCTGGAATATGACGTCACTGAGTGAATATAGAAAGCTACGGTGGAGACGTTTTGGATGATAGGCGTAAATATCGTGTAGATGAAAGGAGTAGTAGATGGTCTGAGTATTTGGCTGTGCAGATTTCTCTATCAAATGACTTTTTTTCATGTCGCGGGTAACAATTGACCCGTACCGCGCAGCGGTGCGCACATGGACTGAAGGGATTCTACGGATCAGACAGGTAAGGAGATACAGAAGGAGTGACTCTGAAGTAGTCGATAGATATTGAAACCGGAATTACCCAAGGAGGAACAGATCTAAGGATGGATGCTAGCCGAAGAGGAGGTATGTTGCAACACTTTCATGTGTTTTTGACTCTGCTGATACGTCTAAGTCTACTAGGATTGGAACTGTCTCACGTTACGGAGGAAGTAAGTAAATATGTTAGGCAGATATCAGAACAAAGAACGCCATAAGACGCCCAAGCTGAGAGGTGAGTCAGAGAGAGAGAGAGAGAGAGAGAGAGACAGGACGAGGGAGCACACTGCCGAAGGTGAGTGACAAATACGAAAATGATAGAGGATAAGGCGAGGAGAATACCGCCGGGATGAGGTAAGTGAATTAAGTCCACCGCGGAAGGATCGCAGCATGCATCACTCATGACGCTAACGCGCTTGAACACACATCTGCAGGACAGAATTCCACGGCGTCGGATAAAATTGCAGGATAGATTCAGTCATGGAGTCTTCGAGTCACACCGGTCAATGATTCAAAGGCGCCACTTGCGGGTGCCATGACTGCATGAGAGTACTGAGTAGGTACCTGTCTATGAGCCCGGTGAGACTGCGGTCGTCGGGGTAGCAGGCTTGTGTCCACCGGTTCGTTAGGTGAAAACGCGTAAGACGGTCTCTCACAGAAGGGCTGCAAGGGTCAGTAACCAACGCCGGCCGCGGGGTTTTAGTAGGGAAACAGAGATGTGCCGTGAGCGGCAAAGGTTGACGGACCAATCATAAGCCACCGAGGAACGCTAATAACTGACGCTACCCGC